CCTCCTCCTCCTCCTCCTCCTCCTCCTCCTCCTCCTCCTCCTCCTCCTCCTCCTCCTCCTCCTCCTCCTCCTCCGCCTCCTCCTCCTCCTCCTCTCCTCCTCCTCCTCCTCCTCCTCCTCCTCCTCCTCCTCCTCCTCCTCCTACCTCCTCCTCCTCTCCTCCTCCTCCTCCTCCTCCTCCTCCTCCTCCTCCGCCTCCTCCTCCTCCTCCTCCTCCTCCTCCTCCTCCTCCTCCTCCTCCTCCTCCTCCTCCTCCTCCTCCTCCTCCTCCCCTCCTCCTCCTCCTCCTCCTCCTCCTCCTCCTCCCCTCCTCCTCCTCCTCCTCCTCCTCTCCTCCTCCTCCTCCTCCTCCTCCTCCTCCTCCTCCTCCTCCTCCTCCTCCTCCTCCTCCTCCTCCTCCTCCTCCTCCACCTCCTCCTCCTCCTCCTCCTCCTCCTCCTCCTCCTCCTCCTCCTCCTTCCTCCCCTCCTCCTCCTCCTCCTCCTCTCCTCCTCCGCCTCCTCCTCCTCCTCCCTCTCCTCCTCCTCCTCCTCCTCCGCCCCCTCCTCCTCATCATCCTCATCCTCCTCCTCCTCATTATCATCCTCCTCCCCCTCCCCCTCCTCTCTCCCCCTCCTCCTCCTCCTGCGTTCCTCCCCTGTTTCCTCCGGTCGGCCCAGGAGCAACTGAGCGTCAAGAAAGGCATGCTGTGACGTCGCCGTGCGTCGGTAGAGCTGACCTGTCCCGCTGGCCCACCGGACGTGCGTCTATGAATCCACCGCGCAGGGTGGTCCAGCGGTGGAAGCAAGCACACGCAGCAGCAGGGTGTGCGCCCTGCGCTCCTCGCCCCCTAGTATCGGGCCTGCGCCGCCATGTCGCCCCCGTGCTCCCCGTCCGACTGCAGCATCTTGGCGCCAAAGCCAAGGTGCCGCAGCAGAGTGTCGGCTTGCTCCTCGCGTCTGGGGGGGGGGGGGGGGCGGCACGTGCCTCGCCGCCGCCGCCGCCGCCGCGCCGCAGAGGCCGCGCCGCCGCCGCCGCACGCCTCAGCGCCTCGCCGCCGTCGCCGCCGAAAAAGCGTGGCCGTCGTCGCCGCCGCCGTCGCCGTCGAGGGTGGGGCGGGGGACAGGGGAGGAGGGAGGGGAGGGGGAGGCGCAGCGCGCCCGCCACTCGCCACATCTGCTGCTTCAACGGGGGAGCCGTCGCCCACTCCGTGAGCTGGCCACTGGCGGGAGCCCAGTTGCCTGTGTACACATGTGTGGATGCAGACCCAGATGTCGCTCAGCTGGTGCCTCGTTGAGTGCTGGATGCTTTCTGGCGCCGCGATGCCTGGCTTTACAGCGGCAGTGGGCCCCGCGGTCCACTCTGGGTGCCAAGGCCTTTGGCCAGAGGTCGGCCTCTGGGGGGGGGCCCTTGCCGGGCCCCGGGGACCGTCAATCGGCGGCGAGCGAGGGGGGAGAAGTGAGAAGGAGAAGGCCTTCTCAGAAGGTTCGGAAGTCCCCTGGCCTTCTGAGAAGCTTTCCAAGCCTTGCCCGAAGACTGAAAAAACTTCTCAGAGGCGCGAGGGCTTCTGAGAAGTCCCGCCCCCTTCTGAGAATTTTTCTCCTTCTCGTTCCCCCCCTTGCTCGCCGCCGAGTCCAGAAACGACTTGGGATGAGGAGCCTGTCCCTGGGAACGGGTCCGGACCTCTGGGGAGACACGCGGCGACAAGACCACGACGCCAAACGTCAGTGAAGGGCACTCCCGGATGCCGGCGGGGGCCGGCGGGGCCCGAGCACGGGCAGACGCGGCGGCACGGGTGACTCCCGCGCGGGTGGGCAGGCCAGGCCGGGGAGGGAGATGGCCACACGGCTGCCGCAGCGGGCGGCGAGCTGGCCAAGGAGCGAAGTCTGAGCAGTAACTCAGCGAGGGCGAGATGGACCAGAAAACAAACGTTAGGAGGCAACTACTGGGAGGTCCGCGTCGGAAAGATGAAAGGAGGGTTAAGCCCCATTGGGAGGCTGTTACGCCAGATTGGGCCTCGGATTAAAGCGGGATCATGCCAGATTAAGCCGATCGAACGGGATTAAGCAGGATTAAGCAGGAGCAAGCTGGAGCAAGCTGGATTTCGATTTCGCACCAGGGCAAAATGAGAATTTGACCTCCCAGGAATTGCATCCGAACCAACGACACCACCCCGCCTACGGCACCACGGTCCTCAGCAAATGCCACGAATTCCGGCGTGGACTTCTGCGAGGTATACGTACGCTACGGCGCCCGATGGGCCGTAGCGCAACATGGGGTGCCGCAAGTGGGGTGGTGTCGTTTGTCTTTTGGTTGAGCGGGGGCCACTCCGCACGAGGAGAAGATTTCCTCGGGGCGCTGAGAGGAGAGCCGCAGGGAGCGCTACTGCATGGGAGGCAGTGGCCTTGCGGGAAACGCTCAAGGCAGCAGGAACGGAGCCATGCAGCAATCGCCTCCCCAGGCCCGCGCATGAGCAAAAGCGACGACCGAGCAAAGGCGGCACCGTCGGCTGCGGTTCGGGGAAGGCCGCGCGGCAACGTATTGCCGTGGCCTTCGGCGCGCTGGTTGCTTCCACCGTGGCGCTGCGCCCGCGCTCGCGCACTCGCGCCGGAACGGCGCGAAACGGCTCGAGGCTGCCCGAAGCCGAGCCGGCTGAAAAGGGCGGAGGAAGGAGGAAGCGGAAACAGAGAAGAGGAAAAAGGGAAGAGGAAACAGGGAGGACGGAACCGGCACTGAGAAAAGGGGGAGAGAAGCGGCGACAGGGTAGCTCGAGAGCAGCTCGATAGCAGGTGGGGGAGAAGCGAAAGGCGGAAGGAGCACGGAGGAAAAACAGCGAGCAGGGAGAGACGAGGAGGGAAAAAGCGGGATGAAGAAGGAAGCACACGGATGAGGGAGAACGGAGGAGGGCGGACGAGAACGACGATGAGGACGGGGGAAGGGGACGAGAACGAGGAAGGAGGAGATAAAGAAGGAGAAGAACATGACGGACCAGGATTAAGAGGAGGACGAGAAAACGAATATACAAAAAACTGGATAAAGGGAAGGGACAAGGTAGGAGAGAACAGAGATTTATGGAGGTTTTTGGATGTCATTAGACCCCCTGCTGAACAAAAACAAAAGCTTCCCCACACACACACACACACACACACACACACACACACACACACACACACACACACATACACACAACACACACATATAACATATGGCATCGAACATATATAATGTAATACATGCATAAATATGTGTATAAATATATGCATACATACATACATACATACATACATACATGCATGCATGCATGCATACATACATACATACTTACATGTGTTTCCCCGTCGCGGCGCGGCACAGGCGACCCGTTCGCGCGTGGAGAAACAAACGGGTTGCGGAGTTGCGAATTGTCCCGCATGTAAGAGGGGGGAAAGAAGAAGAAGAAACCGACCGCGGAAGGAGGGAGGAGACGGGGGGGCACTCTCACGCGGCGGCGCCGCGGGGAGCGCGCGGGGCGGCCAGGCTGCGAAGCAGCCCCTGGCAGCGGCGCGGGGCGGCGTCGCGGGCGCACCCGGGGCGGGGCCAGCAGCCGCAGCGCAGGCGAAGCCCGGCAAACGGGGGGGGGCGGGAGCAGCGAGCGGCCAAGGAACCAGGGCGCCCAGGCGGGGGATGCATGGAGGCAGCAGCTGAGGCCCTCGGCGGCGGGCAGAGGGCCAGCGCGGCGCAGCCGGCGCTGAAGCAATTGCAAAGAGGCACGCACACACACACACACACAAAGACAAACATACACACAAACACACACTTGTGAGTCGCGGTCGGCGGCAGGTGGAGGTGCCAATTGCGAGCGAACTCAATCGAACGTTCCATGATGGAGCAGCCCAGCCATGGCCGGGCAGATAGCAGCGAGGTGGCAAAAAACGAGTGGCGCTGCAAAGCCAAAGAGCAGCAGCCAAAAAAACGAGGAACATAAGCTCGACGCGGGTAGTTTGAAGCGCAACCAGCAGTTTGGTGCTAACTAATGCCCCCATAATGCCAACAACAAAAAGAACTGCAAGGCTGCCAGACCAGCCAATGTGGGGCGGTGCACATACAGAAGGAGCATGCGCGGCGAAGCACCGCCCTGTGGAGCTGCCACACAGCCGATTGGCAGGGCAGCGCTGGGAAAGGTATGGCCTGGCGAAATTACTGCACGGGGTGCTACCCTACGAAATGGCGACGCAAAACACCATAGCAAGAAAGAGCGGAGCGCTAGAGCTACAAGGCACGGCAACACCACGCAGCGCAACCCGTAAAATCCGCCGAGCTGGCGCGCGAGTGCAAGGGGGAGGGGGTGACCGGATGGCTTTGCCGGGGGGGGGGGGTCCGATGGCGCGGGTTCCAGCGGCGTGGGGGGGGGTCTGGTCTCCCGCCCCGCCTGTGGACAGGGAGAATTGGGGGCAAGGGGGGGGGTCCAGCGGCCGGAGGCTCTGCGGGGTAGGGGGAGGGAAGGGGGGTCCAGTGGCGCGGGTTCTGGCGGCGTGGAGGGGAGGGGGGAGGGCCCGGTCCCCCGTCGCGCCTGTGGACAGGGGGAATTGGGGGAAGAGGAGGGGGGTCCGGTGGCGTGGGTTCTGACGGCGCTGGGGAGGGGAAGGGGGGGGTCCGTGGCGCGTGAGTTTGAAGGAGCCTCACCCACAGCCTCAAGACTGAGCTTCAGCCTCTGGGGGGGCTGCTGGGGTGGCTCTGCTGGGGAGGAAAGAGGGGGGGGGCGGGGGCGCGCGCGCGCGGGGCAATATTTGCCCGTGCGCGCGAGAAAGGAATCGGGGAAAGAGGGAGAGAGAAGTAGGACGGACAAGAACGGAAAACGCGAAATAAATGAGGGGAAGACGAAGGTGGCGTCAAAATGCGCGTTTGTTGCGCTGCGCGTGCGCGGCGCGCGCGGTGTGTGCATGCGCGCGCGTTGCCGGCGCGCGCGCGCGCATACGCCTGCAAGGGCGGCGCGCGTGCGCGAGCGCGGCGCGCATGCGTCTGCGGGCGCGCGCAATGCGCGCGCGCGCACGCGTGCACGCGCGCGCGCAATGTCTGCGAACGCGCGCGCGCGTCTGTCGGCGAAATGTCGCCGCCCAGTCCGGGGGGCGCCCCCAGCGACCCGGATCGGCGGCACTGGCCGAAGGCCACTACAATAACGCCGCAGAAAGCGGACGCTGCGGCGGCATGTCGGCGGCGACGAAGAGCGCAGCACGCGCGGGAGCAACGCACGACGCCGAAACCACCCTAAGGCGCCGCGCCGTAAAGTCCCCGATGGAAAGCCACGCCACCAAGAGAGGACAGCGCCAGTGCAATAGGGGCGCCGATCGAAAAAGATACGCAGGGCACCGCCCGAGCAACGAGTAGTTAACGACGCGGGGCGCACTGCGCGCACCGACGTCTAGGTCGCCACCAAATCGACCAAGGACGTCTCGGGCAAGACGCGGAAGGCTCCGCGAGGCCCGCGGGAGGCCCCGCCGCGGAGCCCACGAGCTGAGCCCGAGCCCACCGCACCGCATGCAATCTGACCCTGGCGGCGGCAGAAGCAAGGAGACCAGCCCAGGGGCCCGACCACGTGGAGCTAGGAAACCCGACCAGGCACGACCTGCACGGGAGGCCCAGGAGACGAGGGCGCCAGGAGAGCGAGCCCCAGGCGCCGCAACCAAACTGCCAGAGCAAAGCAGGGCGGCAAGGGCTTTGGCGAGAGCCGCCATGGGATCAACGGTTCGCGCGAGGCCGGGTCGATCTCCCCCGCCGATCGACCGGCAGCCCCCGCCGCCCAGGCCCGCGCGGCACCCTGAACACAGACGAGAGGCGGCAGCGCGGCAGGGGCGCGGCCCGGCCCCGAAGGTGAGACCAGGCCCAGAGACCCCCGCCAGGGCGGCCCCTCAATGGCACGCTCAGCCCAAGGGGGCCGACCTATACCAAGACGGGGGCCGACGCAAAGAGACAGAG